GAACAGGGCGTTCTGTTCGGCCTGGGGAAGACGAAGAGCAGTTGGAGAGAAGGTAAGCTGAAGCCCTCTCCACTCCTCTATGCGCTGAATGCGCAGCGGGGTATCTTGGACTTTCTCTCAAGACCCAGTTTCCAGCTCTTTCCCCAGTGGGGCCTCAAACTGGCTACTTGGTATCCAAAAGCTCATTCCTCTTCCAGATGTGCATGCAGCTAACATCTGTGAGAACACTGGACTGCCAGAGACCCACAAACACCAAGAGGGTCCTTGACACTGGAGAAGTTACTTTAAGATTAAAAAGATTGTTGAATTAGGAGAAATGCTGACTGTTAAGTATTTGGCAGTTTAACTGTCATGATTTGAAATTTCACTGCTAAATTCTTCACCAGAAAACGTGGGTCAAGCTCAATGATTTCCTTTCCTAGAGATTTCTATTTTTAGAAAGATATATGACACACATCTGTCCAGGTTGGTTTGGAGAACAGGGAAAGTAGAATGGATGAACCCCAAGGTCTCCTCTTGTTATATATTTCAGATAGCATTCTCTCCCTCCTGGGAGGCCCTCACCTTTCTACCCACCTCGTAACTCCTTTTCACCCTCCAGGGCAAGCATACCTTCTCTGGAGAAGCTTTCCCTACACTGAAGGCAGAATTAAAAAATCTTAAATCTATGTTTATGAGCAGCGCTCATTTTAAAATGCAACAATTTGTTCTGGACTCTAAGTCAAGAACTTAATAGCCAATGACTTATCACTGTGCTAGCACATAATATAATCACAATAAATAGTTGGTGGATGAATAAATAAAGGTTGAATCATTACTTTGAAGGAGCATCAATTTCTACAAATACACTAGCTTGGTTCGGTTAGATGGTTCTATTTCAATAAAAATTTGTTAGTTTTTATGTAGTTTATATAAAACCCATCATAGTTCTCTGTGCATTCTGTTTGTAGCCTCCTAAGATCACACATCTGGTTGTCAATATACAAAGGCACCCTCCCTCATCACTAGTCACGCTATAAATCTAGGGTAACACAAATGAGGTAGCTCTCACAACTTTCCTGTTTCACTCATTAGGAATTATTATCATTTGCAGCATTTCCTGTGATTTCTCTACAGAGTAACCTGGCCCAGTGGGGAAAGTCATGCTTCCAGTTGTTTTTTCTCTGGTATCTCTATACTCCTCAAAAGGATCCTTAGAAAAGCAATAAACAATTTAAAGAAAATGTGAAGAGAAAACACAATCCCCATCTATTTCACTTTGAGCACTTGACCCAGCAAGCATTTAAGAAACAAATTTCTGGGGGAAAACTTACACCCAATATAATATGATATGTCCTTTTCTTAAATATCATATGCCCTTTAAAAAAAATAGTCACTTTGTCACAAGCAATGAATTTCTTTTGAACTATGAGTGGATTACTTCATGTGGCCTAACATAAAATAGTATTCAAACCTATAAATATCCTTAAGCATTTTTCCTTATAACTACATCAATTTCTTTTTTATTTTTTCAAATACATTTGTCTCTGCCTTCCCCCCACATCAATTTCTTATTAGATGAGCATGACACTAAAAATACAAGAATCATTAATAAAAAATAACAAAACTCAACCTTCATTATCAATAGTAGAAAGTAAAATACGGAAATCTACCAACTAATGCAGGGTTCTAATTGGTCATTTCAAAAGATGATCTATGTTGGGAAACTTCCTGAGCAAAACACTTTTTGTATAATTTAATTTCTTATACCCATTATGTCAAGAATACATTTGTAAATGTACTTTGGACCCTAACTAATCAAAGCAAACTTTATCATTTCCACTGCAACCCAGGATGAAGGGCAGTGCAAAACCAAAAAAAAAAAAAAAAATCACTAAAATATCCATTTATTTATTCCCTCATAGCTGTCACCTGGCCTCACCGCCAACTCCCTATGTCTCAGCTCAACTACACCGCTACCCTCACTCTCCTAGACAGTCCAGCTCGACCGGCCGCCAGGGAGAACAGCGGAAGGAACCACTGAACGCCGTTGGCGAGCCGTGCTCTTTCTCACACTCAACCATCTCACGAACATTTTGCCTTCTGGTATTTTTTGTCTCCTAGACTTTCGTATGAAGGGAGTTTTCTCTCCCACACAGATCAGCGACGTTAGTGAGCATATCCAGCAGGTTGGCCAGGCTACCAAAAGAAAAATGAACAAGACAGTTCTTCCTCAGATTTCAGTCCCATAGGATTCAAAATCCTTCCCCCCACCCTTAAATTGCTATTTATCCTACAAAGCACTCATTTGGTATTTATCTTATGCCACTATGCCCTCCCTCTCCCAATCTTCAAGAAGTATGTCCTGGAAGGTGAAATCAATCTGAAGTCCTTTTGTCCCCAAAGTGCCCACCTTTGCTTAGCAGGTGCTTTGTGCATGATGGTAACAGGGACCGTCCTTCTCTGTTCTCTAGTTAGAAGAGAAGGCCCAGAATAGCCTCTTACTCGAAAACATTCAGACCGTTTTTCAATTCACACTATAATCCATTGCAGGGGGGTATGGTGGGCAAACAGGTTTTATCACCAGTTTAATGTTGATCAGTTCAGTAGCAGCTGCTCTAAAGGGCTGGTTTAAGGAAGATAATGAGGCCACATCTGGACTCAGAGTCTGTGTACAGATGGATCAGAGATGTCTGCTGCATGCCTCGGTGAGGTGCACGGTGGTATGTATGTTCGGTGTTCGCCATCTGGGTTCTAACCACTTAGCCAAAATCTGAATTTCAGTTAGTTCCTTTCCCTGATTGAAGCATTAGGCCTCAAACAGACAATTCAAAGTGTTCCCAATATATGTCCAAGTGTAACCATTTTACAATAGAAGTTTGGTGAAGATCATTCTTCCTGTGGTGAGTCAGACTCCCAGGTCAACATCATGAGCCCAGTGTTCCCTCTTCTTGCCATGGGCACACAATAAGAACATTCTCAAGAGCATTCAGCAGGAACTTTGAAAGTGCTGCTAGTTTTTTTTTACAAAAGCAAAAGCATCAAAGCTCTCAACTCCAAAAGCCACCCAAGCCCAGATCGCTTAAGGATCCCACTGACTGTGTAGCTCTTTGTCCTTCCAGTAGATATTGCATTCTTCTAAAGAGTTCCCTTTTCTCATCCTGCGCTCTCCCAAAAATCTGTACATCAAACACATTTAGGACAAACTCAACATCTCCACTACACTACAGTAACAAAGAGTCCTGGGCTCAGAAAACTCAAAATAACAAATCAAATCCATTCTTCTTCTTTGTTTCTAGTACTGTTCTCCTTGGCTAGATAATCCCTTTTTCTTCTAATGTAAAATATCGAAGACTCCATTTCCTAATTCTTATTTAAGAAAGCACATTACAAAGTGAAGCGCATCGTTACGTGCTGACAACCTCCACTTCTAGCTTTCTAATTGCATTCATTCTATTTTCAAGGCAATCTTCATCAATTTTCATTTCTCCAATCAAATTACATCATTGAAAAGCCACTGTTACTTAATACTTGCTGTCCTCTCTGTAGCACAGTACAGTACTACACCCCACCCCATCCTTGCTCTCTCCCCACCCCAACTCTTTCAGAGCAGCGGTCCCCAAACTTTTTGGCACCAAGGCCCATTTTTGCAGAAGACAATTTTTCCAGAGACTGGGGTGTGGCAGAGGTGGAAGGGGACAGGAGGTGGAGCGAATGCAAGCAGCGTCCACAGATGGGGAGGATGAGGATTGGGGACCCCTGTAGGGCATTTATGTCATTAATATGCTGCTTGACAGTCTCTCCTATTTTCTATGAGAACAAACACTTAGGCCAGGGTCATTTAAAAGTTCCCTTAAAAAATTTCAAGGGTTACATTGGAATAAAAGCCCTTCTGAGATAAAAGTATGTTAGAATGAAAAATAAGTAAAAATAAGTTGCTTTTCTCAAGATCTCAAGATATAGTCCTTCTTCAGTGAAAGGCCAGTATGCCTTGAAACGTTAATATAGAACCTTCTAAAAGCTTCCCCAAGCCCCCAATATTAAAATCATTTAAACAAACATCTCAAGGAAGGGAAAAAGATAGGGACCCGCACATAGGCATTACAGGGCGTTAGGGGGCAATGGACAGGACTCGATGGACCTGGACGAGTAGCCCAGCTGAGCCTGAGTCCAGAGGATCTGGGGGTCCTGAATAAGTTTACATTTTAGTCCCTCCCTACAGGAGTTTCTCCCCGGACTGCACCCTGCAGAAGCCCAGGAAGCAGAGGTACAAACGCAGCTGATGGAAGCCAGAGGACAAGAGAAGCTCACCACCAACTGAGGTAAGCACTGAAGTTCTATTGCTCCTTTACGTATCAGCTGAGACTCTAAAACATGGTATTTTGGAAAAAAAAATTAAAGTAACGTGGTCCTGCAATGTATTTGAGGGCAGACACTGTAAAGTTTCACCAGGTACATATGGCCAAAAGTGTGCCCTGTTCAATATGGAATATTAAATTGAATAAAAATGAAGGGGGAAAATTCAAAAATAGAACATGTTAAAAGACTAAAGGAAACAGGATTTTTTCAACTCAAAGAGATCCAGCCTAACCTTTTTTTCTCAATAGGATAGTATCTACTGTACAGAGTGCAGAGAAAGCAAGAATGAATTAATGAAAGGGCTCCACAAACACATTTAAAAACTACTGGCCTTGATTTTCAGAACTTTCTAGCAAACCAAATTTAAAATCACATAACTAATCGGACATAGCCAAGTGTGTATCATATCTCCAACGTTTAACCCCTTCATTTCTGCCACAGGTTTTTTTCCCCTGTCTTTAAGTAAAAACAAAACAAAACAAAACAAAAAGCTACATACTTTTATTTATCTCAAGAAAGTATTCAGGTGCACAGGCAGGAAAGGATCTCACAGGTACACAGCCGTGTTTCCTAATGACTGAATACAATCATTGCCATGAACACATCCTTTACCTTGAAATGGGAATGAGCACCAAAAGTAATTTTTTTAAACAAAAACGGGGCCTAAAAATAAGTGCTTAGGTGGAATTCTTAAACAGTAACCAGCCTGTTGATGGTGGACATCGTTTAAAGCATCACACAACAATGTGTGTTTACATCACCCTTTTATTTCATAGTTAGAAATAATACAGTTCCACAGGGTAAATCATCAATAAATAACGGTGTTTAATCATTAAACGTAAAAATCCCAACTCTTTGGCATCTGACAGGATTCTATGTCTTGTCAAACTAATGACTGTATATAGTTAATCTTAGTGATCATTCGTCAATACATATGTTACAAAGGTGCAATTTATGTTAAAGTATCAACAGCTGAAAATTTGCAGCCCACCAAGAAATTTGATGAACTTAGTAAGATACGGGCCAACTTCACCAAGGTTCTTTCACATAGTTTGCCTCAGTGAAAGTACAATAATGTTGATTAAGAGTTCCTAGGGTTTTCTAATACTTATTCTGCTCTAAATAGTTTGCCATTCGTACTGGCTAAAGACAAGTCCCAACTGCACCAGGAATGGCCCACTGATTAATTAAAAGGTGTTACTTATTTTATAAGCAAGATTGCTAACACCTAAGAAATTCACAGCCCCCAAAATGAAATTTAAAATAAGTAGTTCTATGCTGCCAGAAATGCCAATTCAGTTATAAATTGCACCTTCAAGAGTCAAAAAAGGAGAAAAGAAATAGAAACTTTTACAAAAGGTAAGTTACATACATTTTTTTTTCCCCCAAAATATATTCAAGAATAGTTGAGCAGTATTTGTTACTAAAGCCAGGGCAATATTTCTTTAGCAACAAATTAAACCAGTGCAATTGACATAAATTGTTACGTAATCCAGGATTAACCTATTAAAACTGTAGAAGCACCTTAGGCTCCTACACTAATCCTAGAAACTGGAATTTCAGTGAGTGCTTGTGCTGCAAAAACTAAAACCTGGAATGACCTGATGCCGTGCTGAATGGTATCACTTCATACTCAGATTAAGCATTCGCTAATAGAAATTGTGAGTTCATTTATTAAAGTTCCATCCACTTACAGAACATTCAGATGCAGACTGCATTATGCCTATAATCCACAACTAAAAGAATCTTTCAACTTTAAAGTTCCAGATGAATTTTAAATTAGAAAATAAGCTCAAAGGAAACTTTTTCAACTTATGAAAACTTCATATTGGAAACTTTCTGGAAAAGCTTCCCCCCCACCTATTGTAAAATAAATACTTTGTATCCCAAATTTAACTTTATTAAGACACACGTTAATAACGCTATAAAGAAATATTTTACAGCCATAGAGATCAATACCTTTCCATGCGGAAATAAAAAACTCATTGCTCAATATTATTATTGAGGCAAGTGAAGAAAGATTATTCTCTTGTCAATCTGAAATGTTATTTTTTTCAGTGCAAAACCAGTTATAAAATATTTAAACTCAATATTTAAAAATAAAAAGTGGTCCAATTCAGCAATGTTCAAGTTCTAAATTTCATAAAACAAATCATTACATACATTTTATAGTAAAATACAGAGATTAAAGAAGTACTTGAGTACTTAAGATATAAATTTCTAATGAATCATACCAAGTCAGCAACAACCAAGCAGAATAGCATTCCCGGTTCCAGTATCAGAACCGTAAAGATCTTACCGTACCAAAGCCTTTTTTCCTAGCTAAAAAGCTATACAAACTAATGGTCAACATTCTGTTTTCTGTGTAGTTGCGTGCTCTAGAGTGATTTCTCTCCAAGTACCTGTGATTTTACTTCTGTATTCAAAATTTGATCCAAACAATTTCTATGTTCCTGGAACACTTAGCTGATATAACCATCTATAACGTGAAGAGTCCTGTACAGAGTACAACAGTGGGATTTCCTAGCCAAGTGCAGGCTGCCCTAAACTGGTTTACATACTAGGCAGGTCATTCATGTATTATTCCTAGCAAACACACGGTCCCCTCGTAGGGTTAGGTGTTGAAGCTGGTACTGAAGCACTTCTGTGTCAGCTGGCTCCTTGATGTTCATTTTATCTAGGTTGAGGTAGTCCAGAGATTTGGAGTGAGCCCTCTTACCTTTAAGAAGACAGAGAGGCAGAGGCCCATGGAGGGCCTTATAAGGTTCATAAGGTAAAGATTTAGTGCACTTGTCTCCTGAGCTGGGCATCCGCCTTCGCCTCCTGCCATTGACAGCTGGAATCTCGTATGGCTGGTAGTACCTACTTCTGGTTTTATACAAACGAGAGGAACGTGCAAGTCCTGCATCCAGCTGTTTGGAGCGCAAGGAAGGCACGGCTTCTCCCTTACTCTCTTCACCTCCTGTGCACTTCTGGGCTAACTTCAGGAGTTCCTCGCCAGTTGTGAAGCCAACCAAATAGTTAGAGTCCATGTGGAGGATCTGGTAGCCTGACACAGTCCGGCGCATCGGTGAGCACGGCGTGCTGGAGCAGCGGGGCTTCTCTGCCTCTGCCTTTCCTGGGGAGCTCGCCTCGGCCACGGGCAAGGGCAGGGTGCTCAGGGTACTTCTGGACTCTCCATTAACATCCACTTCCATTTTAGCCACCAGTCTGCTCAGTCCTAAAAGTAGACAGACAGATTAGAAGGGTGCGGCATGCGGAACGGTGGCCCAAGCTAGATTATTGAACCTCAGTGTAAGGTTCAGGGATCATGAAATGACACTGGCCTGAAAAACAGCCCACATACAACTGACAGATTTTTAACTGCCTATGAAATGTACCAGGGCAGACATAAAATGACCACTACTACTTCTCTGCCTTAAGTCTGAAGTATAACTAAATGGTTCAGGTGGAGGAGCCTACAGAAAGCAATACTTTTCTAAAGACAGCACTCCATTCAATCACGCAAAGTTTATTCCTTGATGCAATATTAAGGTAAGTCAAATACATATCTCAACATTAAGCAAATAAAAATAATCAACACAGTTTCACAAGAACCCACAAAATCTTTCCAACATGAAAATTAAAATCTTTACACTTTCCTTCTTTTGAGTTAAAATAAGTGCTCAGCTCTTCCACCTGTAATTCTTTTCAATGGGATTAAGGGGCAAATAATAAAAAAGATAAAAGCTGATCCATTTCTGTAAAGATTCCAATTTAGACCAAAATAATTTTTCTTACGGTATGGTGAAGTCTTAAGGGAAGGATCCTTCAAACCTGGGAGATGCTCCTCCTTCCATATCCCCAATAAATCCAATAAGTCATTTAACATTAATATGTATGTTATATACTTATTAATAACAATAAGTATGTTATTTATATGTTTACAGATGTTATTTTATTTGAACACTTAATCATCAAATATACCATGTAAAACACTACACTTTTGAATAGTGTAGTAAATGGCAGAAGAATTAACAATATGTACTAATTTTATTGATTACAATAATCGCATTACAGTGTTGGGAAAACCCCAATGACAAGAAGTAGCACAAAGAATGGCCAGGTTCTTAGGAAGTTGTAGATAAATCAAATTTTGGAGAATATAGTACTACAGGAACCTGAGTAACAGTGTCATTTCTGAAAACACTATTTTAGGTATCTCAGACTGCTAACCAAAATGTCATATAATAACTGATTTTAAGATTAAATATTTACTGAAAAAGGCTGATATTAAATAATGTTTATGAATCCTTTTGTTAAAAAAACCTTTTCCTAATTAGATGCATTTAAATTTGGGTATTCGTTTAAAACAAATACTAGCAACTATAAAGCTAAAGAACAGCCATACTTAACCTTATTCCTTCATTTGCATGCTGTACTTCTTTCATCAGAAAATAAACCAAGACTATGAAGTTACCAGATGCCATCCTCTCCTCACTGCGGTCCACATTTATAGCACAACTGAAATTAACACTAATAATAATTCCTGAGATAAAACAAATGCTAAAGAGATCAATATAGTTTTACCCTGTACTCCAAATCTTAGACTATTTTCAATTTTAATTTAGCCAAAATATCTTAGCCCCTCAACCCTTCTAGATTTAAAGTAACCAGCTTTATTTTATTTTATTAATGAAAAAATAAATTTGTATTTGATTTTGTAATCTGTTTCTCTATGGAGAGGATGGAAGCAGGTGACCACCAGCTACTTTGATGTGTTTACCAAAACCTGAAGATTTCTCATCTAATAAACCTTGGAAGGCCATACAAAGCTTCATCAAATTTTATGCTAAAGAAACAAATGTTTACTCTAAGCCAAATAACAAATTAATCCTTCCTTACTAATTCAGTTGTTCCAGAAAGAGCACAAGAGAAGAGCTTCCCCAAAACCTCCAACCTACCCGACAGGCAGGAAGTGATTCTGATACTTGACTCTCAAAACACACAAGGACACACAGAGGAAGGTCAGTGAGGCCAAAATAACCAGGGCTGTGGAGGAAATGGAGCACATACAGTCCGGGTACCCCCGCAAGTAGCCACACTCAAGCAGTCAGCCACATTTAAGAGACACTGGGCCAGGTCTCTTCCAAATCTGGCAGTCCGTACCAGTCCAAGGATTTCCATCGGCCACCGTACAGAACTCGCATTTGGTATAGTATGAACTTCCAAATGTCCATGATTCACACGCTACCCTTCTGAATTGGGTAATAATTCAAACAGACGCTAGGCTAGGCTGAAAGTCATCTTTTTTGCCCATGAAGGATAAAAATCGCTAAGCAAGTTCACGGTATGCAAGGTCACAGGAAAGAAGTGTGCGCACAGGCTTCTGTGGTTAATAGGATAGATCATCGAAAATTTGTTCCCACACCAAGTCAGCCCTGCTGCCTCCAGGCAGACCATCAGGAGTTCAGATAATCCCCAGGGGCTGAGGATAAAGGATAGTAGGATGCAAAGATTTGAGAGAAAAAGGCAAAAATATTACATATATTAGCTAGAAAATAAGTAGCTGGAAAATTAGAAAAGTGGAGTGAGGCAATGTTTAAGGTCAAAATTTAATGTGACATGAACTAGGCACCTCTGTTAGATGAGTAATTATCACTGGTTAAGTTTCCAGCAGCCAACAGCACCATAAAAAATATCACCTGGCGTGGATAAAGTTAACCAACAGGATCTTCAGGCATCTACCTGATACACAATGATTTAAGCTACATACTTAACTAAATGTGGATTAAGAGCTCTGGAAATTTCACCAAGCAGCCTGGTATAAGAAACTGGGATGACATGAACAACATACTCCTCGTAGAAAACACTACTTACCCAGAAAGTTTAAAAAATAAGCATTTCTAATACCCTCTAACAACTATTTAAGTAACCAAGGTCAATACTCCACATAAAGTTTCTGAACCAGTCTTGTTGCACTCGAACATGAAAATGTTCATTTTAAATATATTACATGTGTAGCTGTTACCTGCTCAACTTCTCTAATAAGTAATTCTAAGGGTGGAAAAATTGTTTGGAATTTTTAGCTATAAGGCATCAATATTTCTGCTCCAGACAATACCACAGTCTCAAAACTAACATCTTTTAGGAGGTCACTGGTCTCTGCAATGTACTATCACAAGTACAAGAACGTCTTCTGATCTTGACACTGAAGTATGAATATGAATGGTGCAACCAGGACCCCTACAAATTACTTAGTATTTTTTTACATATTGCCTTTCTAAAGAACATCTTACTGTGCGGCACTAAGAAAGCTCAGTGGAGCTTGGGCGTCAGGCAAGGGAGAAATGATTGGCAAATATTTCATTTTTAGCTGAATGGAATACTGACTAAGCAACATACCTTCCATTCTTCAATGTGACTGAAAACAAAAACTTTTCCTGCTGTTAAGTTCCTGAGAATTTCCGGACTGAATTTATATTTTGGAGCAAGATCCTGAGAGCAGTTATAGAAACAACTTTCTCAGGTTATCTTTCTCCTGGGCCAGGATGGTATAGGTACCATCCTACTGGAAACAGGAAGTCTGGGTACTTTGTGGAAATTCTGGAAATCTACAAAAACAAAGGGGAGGGGGGCAATGCTTAAGACAATAAAGACTGAATGGTCCAAAGCCAGCATATCTTGCTTGATACATGGATGTCCAATATTTTACACTGCAAAATTTCTTATTAAATGCCACTCATCAGGAACAAATGACCACAGCTGGAGATGGCCTGTGCTTAGCAGTATATTCTTCATATTTACCATGGAAAATCTGCCTGTGAGTTTGTTATTTTTAACAAACTTATTCAAGAGTAAGCACTTTGTTTCATAGTCTAAAAGCACTTTGTTTCATATTCTAAAATAACCTTGTGTCACAAAGGCATACTTCCAGGATAAATGATTACAAAGCGCTCTGGTATATGCCGCAGGTGTGTACAGCAGGCACCGCTCCGCCGGCGCGGACTGAGCAGTCAGGGCCAATGCCGACCTCTGCACTGCAGAACGCTAAGAATCAGAAACCAGCACTACCCTTACTGTTTCCATTAATGCCTTTCGTATATGTTTAAAGCAAAAATAAGGGCTAGAAACAGAAGACAGAAAAACAGAAGCAGCAAAATTTCAGTGGATAGAAGAGTCTAAAACAAAATGCAGTTAGGAGTAGAAAAGTCGACTTGTGGTTGAACAGTGCTTTTAAAGCTGAGTTTCTTAAACAAGTACCGGAACAAGTGGCACCTAAGAGCCTTCAGTATCAAATTCTCTCACAATCCAATCAGGAACAATGGCACTGACGTACATTTATAAAACATATGGAAGACTTGGCCCTGTTCACACGTACCACTATGTTTCTTTGAAATATGAGGGTTCAAACCAGACAATGTGAGACAAGTAACACTTTAACATTTATCAGAAAAAAACGTACACAGTGCACATTTTAAAAACACTGGGCGCAGCATGCAATTGTGAATTTTGGCAGAAACTAAAGTAAACAGGTCCAAACCTCAATACACAAGCAGGGGGAACCTGATGCACCAAGATGAGCACATTTAAAAGATGAGCACATTTAAAAGATGAGCACATTTAAAACACCGCGACCTGGATGGATTACTCTCCAAGAGGCCAAACTTCCTACACATTTGGCGAAAGGAGCAACATTTTGAAAATGCAACCTAGATACTTTAGGTCCTTAGACCAGCTCTGAAAATAGCTGTTAAGTTTCACAACTGCTAGACAAAGAATTCTTTTCTGAGAACTACTGAATTTTTTTACAATCAGGTTTATCAAAAAAAGTCACCCTCAGTAGTCAAAAAACTGCTCCATATGCTTGAACTGTTTTTAGAAACATAGGGCAATATCACTTAAAAGAAAACATAAAGCTGTATAAACATACAGAACAAAAATGTCATCATGTGAACAGAATTCTTTTCAAAAGGTACCTGAAACAAACCATTCAGAATAGCGCCATTCGTTGGAAAAAGGTCTCTCCTGAGCATGGCCATTACCAGTTTAATAACCTCAAGAACCAGCAAATTTCAGTGCAAAGTCATCTTGGAGTTCCACCCACCTGGAACCTCCGGTTACAGGGAAGACGACCCTGGGGCCAGACAGGCGGGGGCTTGCCCAGAGCCAGGCAGGCAGCTCCAGGTGTCCAGGCTCCAAGCACAGTGCTCCTCTGATTTAACCCTGCCGTGCTGCTACCATGTGGTTCCAAGCCTGTCCACACACTGACATCATCTAAGGAGCTCCCAAAAATACTGATGTCTGTGCTCTACCCCAGATTTGTGATTAATTCATCTGAGGTGCAGCCAGGGCTCTGAAATTTTTTAAAGATCCCCAGGTCATCCTAAGACTCAGACATGGCTGTGAACTTGTCAGACAAAACTTATCCAACAGAAGAATTTCACCCTTGTATGTTCTTATCGTTCTTTTTTTTTTTTTCAAATCAATAATTATAGTCATATCAGTGACCATCATTTTTGGCTGTTCGCAATTGCTAACAACTTATCCCTAAAGCCCTTCAAATTTACTCTTCCTAATCCATTGTGGGGGTTTTTTAAAATCTGCTAACTAAACTTGTTAAAAATAAAAATACATCTGTGCTGAATGAGAATCAGGTTCCTTCATCTACATGCTCTTTGCTTTAGCTATTGTAGTTATTTAGAAGCCTCTGTCAGGTACAGCCACTGTGGAGAACAGTCTGACAATTTCTTACAAATTTAAATAAATGCTTATTTAACCACCCACATACCCTACTTGTAGATATTACCCTAACAAACATGAAAATATGTGTCACACAAAGATGTGAATATGAATGTTTATAACAGCTTCATTCACAATCACCAAAAACTAGAAGCAATGCAAATGTCCACGAACAAGGAGTTGGATAAACTGTGCCCCGTCCATACAATAAAACGCCCCTCAGCAATGAAAAGGCGCAAACTAGGATTACAGTTAAGTGACAAAAGCAGGCAGAAAATGCTACATACTGTGTAATTCCACTTACATGACATTCTGGAAAAAGCAAAACTATTGGAACAGAAATCAATCATCGACTGCCAAGGCTGGGGTTGGGGGAAGGGGACAGACCACAAAGGGGAACGAGAGAATTATGGGGGAGGGGGCAATGAAAGTATTCTATGTACTGACTGTAGTAATTGTTATACAACTGGATATGTTTGTCAAAACTCATCAAACTGCGTAAATTTACTGTATATAAACTACATTTTAATAAATCTGATTTTAAATATAAAAGAAGCTGTCACAAATTTCCAAGTTTTTGAGGTCCTCTGAATTTTCTATTCCTGTTGCTACAGGAATGTGTGTATATTTGTATCTCTCCATGTGCATATGTACACAGATGTATGGACACATAGTTATAGATACAGTTATATGTAAATAGAAGGACATTCTAACAGAACTGCAAAAGGGGAAATGAACCAACTTAGGAAGTAGTAAGGCCCTGACCAGTGTCGCTCAGTTGGTTGGGTGTCATCCCGCAAAGCAAAAGGTCACTGGTTCAATTCCCAGTCAGGGCACGTGCCTGGGTTGCAAGTTTGGTCCTCAATAGGGGTGCAGAGGCAACCAATCGATATTTCTCTCCCTCTTTTCCTCTCTCTCTAAAAATAAATCAATAAAATCTTTAAAAAAAAAAGAAGTAGTAAGTTACCTGTCAGCATAGCCAAGACAACTATTAAGATACCTTCTGATTCTGCCAATATACAATTAGAAGAATTTTAAAAACTGGAGGACCAAATCTTGTGCTTTATTTCAGTTATACGAATTGTTGACCCGGCCACATTCTTCTTCAACATCCTCTAAAAGTATTTTATATTTATGATTTTCAAAGTTCTTGCTCTTTTCTTCAAAATAAAATTTTAGTAATATTTCCACTTTTTTTGGATGTTTTAAAATGCATTTTCAACAATCTCATAGATTACATATGCTTCACAAACAAAACTGTCTGTGGTTCCCCATCAACCCTTTGAATCATTCTGCTGCTGACTGATGATTAGAAAATCACTTATTATGAAACTGCTTTCTTCAAGGATTACGAGCACTTTAAACACTTCAAGGAAAGGACCTACAAGGATACTGGCCAAGTAGAATGACATACCAGAGCATGAACTCACACTAATCTAGTTTTTAAAATTCTAAAGAGTTAAAAGATCATTACTAATTTGTTTCCCCTTCAAAGACCTGGAGCCACATGAACAACTGTGTCAGCACAGATACACAGGTGACATACTGAAAAAGACAACTAAAGGACAACAACAGCACTGCATATTTTTAATAGTTTAAATTCATGGTGTGATAAAAGGAATGTCACACTTGCGTGAACTGCTATTCAACTAAGTGAAAATGACGTTCATTTCTGTCACCTGTTCACGATTCTTTATGTATAATACACAAGTAGAACTTTTTGCAGATTATTTTGCCAATCTCTGGAGACTATTGTTTTTACTAAAACTTTCCTGAAATTAGAACAACTATCTCTTAACTGCAATATTTTCAGATATTATGGAATATAATATAACAATATAATATATTTCAAATATAATGTTAGCATCTTGCAACAATTTCAGTCCTCACCATTAAAAATGCCATAATTGTAGTATACATATTTGTAATAACATATTGAGATTTTACATTTATTGTTCATGTAGTCCTTAATACATTATGATATTATGTTAATACAACTGGTTAACAAGCAGAAAAAGCAAAATGTAACTCACCAGACTAAATCCCAGAAGATGTCACTGTACAATTTCCAATGAGTCCCAAGGGAACACAGGCATAATAATTTTTCTGCTCTACTCCAGATACTAAACATGAGATACAAAAATAAACCTTTAATTTAAAAAGTAACAACACTTATGAAGCAATATATCCATTCTAACAGCAAAACAAGTTGAAACTAGCAGGTTATACTAATACCAGGAATAGGTTATACAGGATACAATATTAATTAATTTAATTAAAGTCATTTTGAATTTGTTCAGCTAAATAAACTGCAAGCATTTTATCAAGGTTGTTCCTCTGTGTTCTGTTGCTTAAACTCTACCTGGAGACTGAGAGTAGCTAACTGGGCTCAATCTTAGAGATTTAAATGGTTCCATCACCTTAGTCCTATTCACAGTTCAACAGACGCACGGTACCCTATGAAAAAAATAACCATGAGGCTGGGTCCAAAGAGCAGGCCCTACCCAGGCCTAGCTTTGCTGAGAACTCTGCCTCCTGACCTTGCGTAAACAGCAATCTTTAAATTGAGGACAACAGCATCCTTCCTCCCTCATACAGTTGTCATGTGGATCAAATGAGATGAGGGAGGTGAACGAATGTGCTCTGCATGCTGCAAAGCCTTTTACGATGTGTGATGTTATTATGCAATTAATTATTTGGTGTCTACTCACTTCAGCCATAAAATAGCAATAATAAAAATCCTTCATAAGACTGCTCTGAGGCAAATGATTGGAAGATTCTTGGAAAACATTTTAAAAAAGAACAGAACAGCTTGAAAAAACACTCCTTTAATGTTATCTGAACCCCAATCCATCTGACTACAAAGCTCAATGACGCATTACTTTATATATGAAACTTCATTCCAGATTTGAAAGCAGAGAAGCCTTGAAGTAATTATCTAACTCCTGAACTGGAGCTGATGTGGAAGTTTAGGAAATGGTCGGTAATTCCATAGTAAACAAAGTGTAGTAACTGATTATCCCTATTAGGCCCGTGCCAAGCCAAAAATAGAACATAAACAGAGTCCGGGGGAGCCACAGAGGGCAAAACCAAGGTGCAGGAGCTCCGTTTAGGTTCTCATTTTTTACTCATTTCTGACTCTGTTTCTGTCTGTAACTGCCTGCTATCCGTGCACAGGTGCTAAGAAGAAAATGATGAAGATGGTGAAAAAGGAAAAATTTAAAAAACTGAAACAACAAGGCTAGAAACTAATAAAAGAATATTCCTTCTTTAAGAGCTTGCCTATAAAGGAATACAGTAAAAAAAGTTATAGTAACCCTATCTCCCATCAGAAACAAAACATAATATGTAAGTTCCCAAAATGTATTTTTGTAATAACATTTTTAGAATACTTTAAAAATCTAAAATCTATAAATCTCTAACACTTGCAATTGATTCTGGCCAATGTTTTGAACATGAAGGCTTGGCAAGATATCAATGGATCTCCTCTCAAAAACAATCAGCAAGAAAGAAAAGAACTCATGCGAATTTCTTGCAAGATGGACTAAATGCTGCATGGAAAAACAAATTCAAATAAACAGTGCAAAGGCTATAGTACATAACGCTTCCAGCTACAATCAGCTGAAACAAACAGAAAGCCCTGTGATATTATCCCCCAAGCTATGGAAACAGGAAGAAATAAGCATGGTGAAGAGCTGTCCACAGGCCTCTGGATAAGGAAACCATTAGTGACTAAGCAAAACACACCTAACATTTGACTGCAAATGAGGCTTCTACAAATAGAAAAGTTTGCAAACATTAACTAGCAAGTGTGTCGTTTTTCTCAGGCAAGATGATAGATACCAACAGAGGTAAATAAAAAGAATGTCCTTAAAAAGCAGAGTGGCCACATGTCTCAGGTCATAGCTACCAGTGCCCTGGCATAATTATTTACAGTGCCCCCTTTATGTCTCAAAAGTGTCCCAGTTTGGCAATTACATTGTTATCCTACTCAAAAGTATATGTAACAATGGAAAGGCAATGAATTAAGAAATGGGGGAAGGAGGAAGGACTCTCTGCTTGTATCATGGCTTCCCATACAAGTCTGAGGAGTATTTGTTTTGGTGAATTCACACAGCCATTTAATTATTCATTTACTCATTTGATCATTCAACAATATTTTGAGTTTCATTACGCCCCAGCACTGTACAAGCAGTAGGACAAATACTAAAGCCTGAGACCAAATGAGAGGGACAGACAGACATGGAAACACATTAATCTAATAGGTATAACAGTAAACCTAAATGGCACTGGGAACCCAAAGAAGGGAGTGATTTTTCCGAAAAATACAGAAAGCTCCACATGGAAGTGTTTAAGCCTACACAAAATCATTACATACAAAGACGCCATAAAACTCAGGCTTCAGCTTAAATCTACTAACAAAATAGCAGCAAGACAGATTTAACAAAATCTATCCCTTCGAAATCAGAAGGTCATAAATATGACAGACCACACACAGTCCGTGTGGATTTTGGTAAATAAATCCCACTAATCATTAAAGATTATATAATGAAAAGCAAGATAAATTTTAGGCAAAGAAAATAGAGTAGAAGTTAAGGGTTCTAAAATTCTAGTTCTCAAAACACAAAGAAAAATAAGGAAACAGGTAGGACTTCTCAGAGTGGCTATTTGAGGAGAGACCAATATTGAAAAACCACTTGGGAAAAAAGGAATTTTTTAAAAGTTTCACTGAGACTAATGAAAATATTTTGCAACCATTAGTCTCAAAGATTACTCTAAAAACAATAAGAACCAAGACATCTCTCAAGTAACAGAACACTGAGCAGAAATAAAATGATGTAACCACACAATGAAAACAAAATGCTTAGCTGTGCATACATGCTTACCTTAAGAGCTGACTTTAAAAGAATCTTGCTTTTTCATTTACAACTCATAAAAACTAAATCATCAATAATTTTAAACACTTCTGAAACCATCCTTCACTTTACAAACAAATCATTAACCTCACCATGCTCACCAATGTGGTAAGACAGCCCATCATGGGTTCAGAAAACAAAAATGTATTTCTATAATCAATTATTTTAATAGTAATCCCCTTAAAGTGCAGCATTCATTTTCTATTCCTGCCAGTAGAAATTAAAGCTAGATTATCAATATCTCATCATTAGGAAAAATCATCCTTCTGGCCCATTTCAGAAAAAAATTCAGTTTCACCACAAATATGACCGAGGGTAACTACAACTGCCAGGTCTCAATGCCATCTTTACAAGAAATTTGTGTCTTTGGAAGCATAACCGAAATGGGACAGGTGCACACAGTGGAATTGGCTAAACTTTCAGATGTAAGCTTAAAACTAGGAACTTATTTTGGTAGATCAGTGACAAAATCAGAATTCTCTCTGGAAGAGAAGAGCTAATTCCCACTCTCCACCACCAGATCATAAAAAATCAGCAAAGAAATTTAAATACTGTATATAGTGTTTCTACTCCCATCACTCTGGATACTTAAGGGCTAATGTGTACAATACCTCTCCAAAGTATACAAAATTACACAGAGGAAGTAAACAAATTCACTAACTATATGTAAGGTCAATAGATACCCTATATCTTATATTCTGGAATACTTAATACTAAACAACCTCATTTGCAATTAAATAAACTGTCGGCAGAAGCAAATTCTATACACCAGTTCTTATCAAGTCAAAGAGGTCTCTGGGCTCATTAATCCTTATATTTCATTTTGGTCATTTTATTAAGTTTATATGCACACACAAGTACATAAAACACTGAGATATCTGTGAAACATTCATTAAATATAACTGTGGGAGCATAAATCATGGTCTTTAATTAAAATACCAAAAGCGTCTGCAATAATAACCAGTACTGTATTTTTTTATTTTATTTATTTATTTTTTCTTAGTAACAGGGGAAATAAACTTGTGGAAGAGATCATTTCTCTCTCTCTCTAGTGTCTAGCCTGCTCTACAGGGTTAAAATCAAGCCAACTAACAACTCTAAATTGTAGCGCGGCTCATCTAAGTAAAAGAATGTAAAGCGAAGAGTCTAGTAACGTCAGAAATGTTGTGCAAGAGTTGTTCTTTCGGCTAGGAGTAGCAAACACACTATAAAATGCTTCTGCCTCCATTCTTCCAATTCCTCAAATGATTAAAAAGTTCCCAGCCCCAGTTTTACCTGTGCATCACAGCCATACACATACATAGTCAGCGTGTTGGCTCCCTACAAATGACTAACCCACTGGGTGCAAACTGGCATGGGTGAAGAAGTAGGGAGACCCTAAGGATGTGGAACATTTGCAAGGGGAAAAGGACGAGACCATCATTCCTTTCGTGTTCCCATCTCCCTTCTGGCAGAGATTTGCAGATTCCACCACTAGAGAGACTTTGGCAGCTTCACAATGCGACCGCCTGCTCAAGGTCTGAGTGCCACCCGCCTGGAAACCCCTTTCCCTCGGCTTCCCACCCGCCCCAAAGTCCACCCGCGACAGGTGGGGCGAGAACGGCGATGCCCAACATCTGCCGCTTTCGCTCCAGGCCAGCAGCCGGAGCCAATCCACACGCGCTCCCCTGGACAAGGCCGGCCAGCCCGCCCCCGCCGCACCGGTAGACCCGCAGCCATGAGCTGCGGGCTTGCGGGCAGCCTCGCCGCACCCCCCGCCCCCGCAATTGCTGAGCGGGCAAGGAGGGCGGGCCAGATAAGGCCGCCAGGCTCGCCCAGGGGTACTATCTGGCCCGGGCAGTCGCACCCGGCGTGAGATCGGGCACGCCGCCACAGGCGCAGCAGGCCCAGGAAAAAGCTACTTTTCAATGGGGCCTCCAGGCCCGCTGCCCCGCGGAGCGGGCACGGCGGCAGAGCAGCGAGCGTGCGCGCCAACGCTCCCCGACTTCCGCGCCGCCCCACCCGGGGAGAGGCGCTGCGGGTCGCCGAGTTCCCGCAGCTCCTCAGCGAGCGCACGCCGCGCGCACACGGAAAGCACGCCGCCGCACACTCACTCACACGCGCTGCACACTCAAGGCGTCTCCGGCCCCACCCCTGTGCCAAGGAACGGTGGGATCCCCGCACCCGGCAAGGGCCCCACCCAGTTCACTATATCCCAGCCTCCTGCTCGGGTGCCCAGGGACCAGCTCGCCGAGGCCAGGGGTCACAGAGGCCGCTCATCCCGGAGGCTCTCCGGGCCGGGGTTCAACCGTACCGCGCGGGCTCCGTGCGCCCGGCCCCGACACGAGGCAGGGAGGAAGGGGCGGCGCCGCCACTGGGGCTGGCACCGGGAATCGGTTACTGGGGCACCCCCCCTCACCACCACCCACCCACCCACCCGTCACCACCTTTTCTGCAGCACAAAAGGTTGCAGACGAAACCGCCGTCCCCGTGCAACCTACCGGTGGCTCACAGCTCGCCGCCGCCGTGCTTGGGGCCGCGGAGCCCGAGACAAGGGCGGGAGAGGCGCAGGGCTGCGGCACTGAGATCCGGGCAGAGGCCGCCAGCGGAGCCAGCCGGGTACCCTCTCCTCTCCCACCGCGCTCAGCGCCAGCTACCGCCCGGCGTAGTCCCCGCCTTCACCTCCTCCGCCCGCCTTCCCGCCCTCCTCCCTCTGCTGCAGAGGCGCAGCCCGTCAGCGCTGAGCCCGCCTCCCGCGCCCAGCCCAGACACCGGGGGAAGGGCGGACCGGCCAGGGAAAGGCGCTAAGGAGGCCTGATGAAGTTGGCCCGCGGGGCGGAGTTGCTGACTGAGGAGGGGAGGGAGGAGCGTAATACCCCCGCCCCAACCCGTACCCGACACTCCAACTGAAGAGCATCAGTTCACAGTCCTGGCTGGCAACACTCAGGTTTCCCCCGTTAAGTGGTGTGGTGATGTTTGTCATTTATGAGTCTCTGCTTAAAGGATTCAGCACTGAGCAGTAGAGGAGACTAGAAGCCTATTAAATTACAAATTATAAGATCGATCTTAGAAAAGTGCTAAATACGTAGTGAAAGGGGATAAAATTCAAATTGATACTTATTGGATTAGCTATTTTTGAATCTTCAGGCTCGATCTTTTCCATTCTTGTAAGAAATTCTTTTCTTCAATCAAGATTTTCTATTCTCAATTCCTGTACCTCTCCTCTGCCAAACCAGTTAATAAACTCGACAATAAGAACATTTACTGATGTTTATTTAGCACTTAGTGTGTGCTAGGCCATTGTACATGATTTTCAAATTGACAACTCTCAACAATTCTATAAGTTAGTGGCCATTTATGATCCGTATGTTAAAGATGCAAGAAAGTTGAACTAAATTCCTCAAGGTCACACCTAATAAGTGGCTGAGGTGGGTTTGAACCTCAGGCAGTGGAGCTGTAAAATGGTTTATAAATGTTGCTAATTTACGTTCCAGTCTCAATCCAAGAGAATTTGTTGTTCTTTCTTCTTCATTTTTTTTTAACAAAGTGCTTTATCTAAACATAAAACACATAACTTTCGTGTAAATAAATACAAATGTAGACAAATCTTGATTCAAATTTGTTCCAAAATCTGTATATGCCCGATAATACAAAGGCAAATAAATAAATATGAACATCCTTACTTGAACAGCATGAAACCTAGAGGCTCCTCATCTAGAAGACATTTTATATGACTCTGTGTGCGCTAAAATAAGTAAGGGAAGATAGAGAAGGAAATTTTGACTAATGTTCTCTAAAGAGCAATTTTAGAAGACATAAATTACTTTTCCAACACGATATCTGTGTAACTTCTCAAATATAGAACCTGACACAACATATGTGTTGAATAAATGAATGCAGTTTGGTTTTACATGGATAATTTAGGAGAACACACTGAAAGTTATTTCAGATTATAATCTGTTTGATAGAGAGGTTTATTGTTCTGACGATCACTCTCATAAAACCACCTCCAAAACACTGAATATTTTATATTCAGAAATTCACTTTTATTCTGTCCTGTCTGAAATTTTGTGACCTTTTCAAAAGAACACCTTGTAGTTGCCCTTTGCTCTGAAAGTTTGGCAATTTCTTTGGCCAAAAGTAATAAAGTTCTGCTTTGCCTTTAAGTTGATTAGGCTCAGGGCCGAAGACAGTGCCTTTTTGAGAGGGCATGTCTCCAAATTGCCTGTCTTCCCAGGTGGTTCTCCATGCTTCAATTCTAGCCCTAACTCCTCACCCAATCAAAACTTCAGTCATTTCTTAAGTGTCACAAAGCACACCTAATAAACCAGTTCACCAGGAGGTTAATGGCTGATAACAGCTTTACGTGTGGGCCCTCAGTGACAGGTCTATGCCCCTAAAGACTCTGAACTGGTACTGTCTTAATTCAGATCAGTTGTGGCTTGCAAAGGCTGTGTCCGAGGGGCGCACGGCTGCTGGGGTTAACACAGAAGCCCTGACTGGGGCTTTTCCATGTTTTATGAAGATCTATTCAATCTATTTTTTTTAAATGGCATGCTTATGAAGAATTAGGAACAAATGTCGAACAGTTCCTGTGACCTGAAATGCCTTATGAGTCTGGGGAGTCAGGCACTCCGGCTCACATGTCCCTTGTGTAAGTTACGTCTTTGCCTCAAGGCACCTTCCCACAAAATCACTTTAAAATAATGGTTTTCTGGGAAGGATTATAGTGTTTAAAAAATTTTTCCATCCTCTACTCCTTCCTTTTTGGCAACCATCAGCTTGTTCTCTATGTGTATGGGTCTGTTTCTGTTTTGTTTTTTATTGCTGCATAATGTTTCATTGTATATATCCACATCTTTCTTCATTCATCTGTTGATGGACACCTAGGTTGCTTCCATATCATGGTCATTACTAGTAGTCCTGCAGTAAACAAAAGGGTGCATATATCTTTTCAAATTAGTATTTTTGTTTTCTTCAGGTAAATACCCAGAAGTGGAATTTCTGGATCATATGGCAACTGTATTTTTAATTTCTTGAGGAACCTCCATACTGCTTTCCATAGTGGCTGCACTAATTTACAATCCCACTGACAGTGTACAAGGGTTACATTTTCTCTACATCGTCGCCAACACTTGTTATTTGTTGATTCATTAATGATAGCCATTCTGACAAATGTGAGGTGATATCTCATTGTGGTTTCCATTTGCATTTCCCTGATGATTCGTAGTGTTGAGCACTTTTCATATATCTGCTGGCCATCTCTCTGTCCTCTTGGGAGAATGTCTGTTTAATCAGGTCCTCTACCTATTGACCTAAATAGGTCACCTGGCATACAGCCAGCTAGAGAGAACAGGGTAGGCTACTTGATAACATAGTGAATGTAAAACAGAAACTACAAAGCCAGTTGGGCAAGAAATACCACATCTCCATATTTTCTCTAAATGTACTTATTTTAAGCTGGGACTAACCAGGAAAAGATATCATACCACTCTAAATACTTACAGAGATAACTGGATGCAAGGAATTTATAACAAAGGCAAAGGAAGAACTCAGAAGCTAAGCAAGGGTTGGTGAGATGATCTAGAAATTAGCAAATGCAGCCCATAGCTGGAGAAATAAAGGGAGGAGGCAGGGTCCCAAAACCAGGGGCAGGCAGAATGGCCAACATGGTGAGAGCTGCTGCACGGAGGAGAGACAGCCAATGCCAAGGAAGTTGTCTGTGGCAGGGGAAGGAGAAAAATCTACCCCAGATTCTTCTCTCCTCCTGCCCTCCAGGCTCCTGCCAGTTAGCCAGACCTAGACACTGGCTGCCATAGAGCCAGGGAAACGTCCTGCTAGCCTGCAACATGGCAGTGAGTAGAGGAAGGGCACGGAATGTGAATCTGAGGGCCTGTTTGCAAATCAGCACAGCACAGCATTTTATTTGCAGATCAGCACAGCACAGCATTTTATTTCACTTTCAAGGCCTCAGTCTTTTATAAGGTTTTCCCCCACTCCCTCGGGTAGGGTCAAAGTTCCAAGAGCATATGTCATGCGAGGCCATGGGTAGATGGTGATGACAGACAATAGGAGAAGGTCTTTTTGTTTATACTCGTCTGTCCACAGAGGTTTCTATTGTCCTTCTCCAGAGCTGCCACCTACAGCTACATGGTGCAGTGCCGTGCAGTGTCTAGCATGTCTATAGATGGGATGGTTCTGTCCTACGCTCTTGGTTCCTCCCTTCAGCTCTCACATGCTCCAGCATCACACTTGGACCCAGAGAATATTTCTACAGTCAGGGACCATCTTGCTAAGCCTCATTAGTCATTTACATTTCGAGTCCTGTATCAAATATAATGATATAGGTAGATTCAAACTAAGAGGATGGAAAAAATATATAACATGCAAACACCATTGTAAACAAAGCAAGAATAATGACATTAATATTAAATAAAGTAGACTTCAGAGCAAAGAAAATTACTAGAAATAGAAAGGGATGTTATATAATGATAAAATGGTCAGTATACCCAAAAAACTAATTATATGCACCGAACATCAGAGCTATAAAATATATAAAACAAAGGCTGATAGAACTGAACAGAGAAATAGGCAAATATACAATTATAGTTGCACCCTTCTATTAACAATTGACAGAACACCTAGACAAAAATCAGCAAGGATCTATAATGCTATCAACCAAGAGGATATACATGAGTTTGATAACAGTGGAGCACTCCTCCCAAGAACAGAAGAATGGACCATATTTCAAATACTGACAAGATATAAACCAAGATAGACCACATACTTGTTCATAAGAAAAATCTCAACAAATTTTAAAGAGTTGAAATTAGTCCAACTACAATGGAATCAAACTAGAAATGAATAACAGGAAGATAACAGGAAAATGCCAAACACTTCGAACAAAATAACAAACTTCTAAATAATCCCTACGTCAAGGAGGAAGTCTCAAGAGAAATCAAAAGATTTATTTAACTGAGTAAAAATAAAAATACAACATGTCAAATGTGTGGGACACAGGTAAAGCAGTGCTGAGAAGGACTGCTAAATGTACATATTAGAAAAGAGGGAGATCTCAGATCAATAACCTAAGCTCCTATTTCAAGAAGCTAAACCAAGAGGAGCAAAATAAACCCAAAGCAAGCAGAAGGGAAGAAATAATAAAGATAAAAGCAAAAATCAATAAAATTGAAATGGAAAAACTATAGAGAAAATAAACAAAACAGAAAGCTATTTCTTGGAAAGGATCAATAAAATTGACAAACCTCTAGCAAAACTTGGTAATAGCAAAAGGGAGAAGACCTCAATGACCAATATCAGAAATGAAACAGAAGATGTCACTGCAGATGAACAAAAATGAAGATGAACCAAAAATACAACTAAACAACCCTAAAGATGTTTTTAAAAGGACAATAAGGAACTATTATGAACAATCTACACTCATAAATTTTACGACTTAGATAAAATTTTTTGATTCCTTGGAAAATACAAACTACCACAAATATCCGATATGAAACAGATAATATGAACAGCCATATAACTATTAAGGGAATTTAATTCATAATTTTAAAACATCCAAAAAAATAAAGAGGAAATAGCTGGGCCTAGAGAACTCTTAAGGAACTCTGCCATACATT